CAACCCAGCATCGTGAGGAAATTGGGGAGCTACGATGAGTAGCGTATTCCAGTTAAGAAAGCTAGCAATGGCTGGGGGACTCGTCATACTGACCACACGTCACCCTATATCTGGTTGGATGATCGGTCACCTCTGCTTAGGCATGTGAACATGAGGCCAACAGTCGAGCTAGTCGGCTTTGGCTCTCTGTTGCTGTACGCCACAGATTTAATTTATTTTTTTTATTTGTTACATGATAATCTCTGCTTTTGTGTATCTATGTCAGCAATAGATTAGTACATTGAATCACCATTAAACCAGTGAGTGATGAAAAATTTGTAACAAATACATTTACGACCCCTCTGTATTTAAAACTTGTGGACAGCTTTACACACATATTTTATTACATGCTTTGTTTAGATGCAGAATCTGATGCCAGTTCAGGATGGTATCACAGTTCACAGTTTCTTTGTGAAAATCAACACAACTCTTAGCATGATTACTGGCAGTGGTACAAGTCTGATGAATGGTTTTAAAATGTGTAATATGTATATTGAAATAAAGATATTTATTTTTAGGACTGGGTTCCTATTATAGCAAGAGACACACAAAGGCAGCGTAGGCAAAATCCTCAGCCTCCATTCAGTGATGCTTACCTGGCAGGGATGCCATCTAAGAGGCGGAAAATAGTAACTGCAGCAAAACCTCAAGGAAGCCTAAGTAAAATTATTGCAGGTAAGATGGGTTCTTCTTCGGGCAAGACAGACTCATAGACAATGAAGGAAGAATCCTTGTCCTCTATGCATTGATTCTTTCCTGTCAAGGTTGCCATCTAAAAGTCATAAAATGCAACTACAGCAAAACCTCATGGAACTGTCAGTCAGATTTTTGCAGGTAAGATGAAATGACAATCGGAAGTACAGTTTCTTAGTTCATAATAAAACAATTTTTGTAGAGTAAACTGGATAATCCATTCATGTGTAATTGAGAGTTTATATATGTAGTATTCGTTGTTTTTTTGTTTGTAGAGAGTGTTGGTAATGCTGTAGATGCTGCTGGAGTGGATGCTGTAACTGGACTGGAAACTGTGACCCAGGTTGCTGGCAATGATCCTGAAATACAAGCAGCATACAGAGAACAAGTGCGCTTGGCTGTACGGGAAAACTTGGCCAACAATCCAGACTTCACAGCAGAGCAGTTCCCAAACACTGCAAAATATTTTAAGTAGCGAACAGGAACTTTATTGTAGCAAACAGGAACTTTATAGAAATAACTTTATTTTGCCATTTGTTAGATACACCAAGATATGTCTGTAAGTACTGCACAGACAACTGACTTGGTTTTGTGTGCCTCTTTAAAAGAAAGTGAGGTCATTGTCAAAATATGTCTGTATTCCCTTGAAAATTAATAGAACAGTGTTACAAGTATATTTTGTGTATTAATAAATGAGTCGAGTTTTGATTAAAATAGTAGTACACAATTCCAGTGTTACCAAATATTTTGACAGCTTTATATAAAGCAGATACTTTTGTTATGAGATGGGAGGTTAGACTTCTTTCCAGATATGCTTTTGTACAATGTTGCCATCTGCTTATCTCATGTTGCTTTTTCTCTAGCATGTCCTGGAATTTCCTGCAGACGTTTCTGAATATTTGAATTATTCTGCTATGTCTTCCTCAGATGACTTGCATTTCCTTGCACCTGTATACAAATAATTACAGAAATCAGTGTGTTTTAGAAAGAAAATTGGTATTTACTTACCAGTACTGATATGCTTGTGTTTTATTAAATGTTACCATATAACTCCAGTACAGCTAAGCTTATTTTTGCAGGTTGTACAAGAATTGTAGGCTGTTTCATACAAACCAAATAACACAAGCAAGACTTCTGTGCCAAGTTAAAGAGCAGAAACTGTTTAAATAAAATGTTCTATATAGTTGTGGCACCTAATTAACTTATGTGTATAACATTACATGCAATAGAAAACTGACACGCAATCATCTGTCCAATTGGATTGTGGTTTGCACAGCAGATCCTTCCTAATTATCTCATTCATTTCATTGTAGGGAATGGGTTAATAACTGAAATTAATTCAGCTTTATATATGTTATTCGTAGTTTGTTTTTCATATTCTGGGATGTTATTCTTGCTGCTAGGTATGCAGGTCCCTGTGCTTTTGTCTTCACATTGCACACTTTACTCTCGTCCATTAGTGAGGAGAAATGTTGAACATGCTATAAGTTAGGAATATTTAAAAATATTATTTCATTGCATATAATAAAAACTCTGACTGTTTTAACTTTATTTAATGTGAACTTTGTAATAAGTTAATTATCAATACTTAGATAAGGAGTTGAATGAGGACTGAAAAATAATGTAAATGTGAAATTATTATGAACCCATTATATTCATCTACATACCCTACCCATCTCATTCTTGATTTAATCACCCTAACATTATGAAGCTTCTCGCTGTATATCATCTCCATTCCTGTCACTTATTTTCACATAAATCTTCACCCTTATATCAATTTAAATACTCATAATCATGTGTAGTAAACTAAATTTTTAAAGAAGTATTGATGATGTGAATGAGTTATACTTAATGACAGTTCACATGTGTTCAGCAGAGAATGTATTAAAATTCCAGACCTCTTAACCACCAACCCCATAACATAGACTTAATTTAATGTACAGGAATACTGATTACTGTCTTAATCTCTCATACTACTTCCACTTCGAAGTTCATTATGTAGGGTTAATATTGCTATCAGCCCATGAACATGAGTGTTGCGTTACTTTGATTTGGAGACTGCTGATTTAGCAGACTTACCTTATATAAATTAAGTACTGTTATCATCTTTCCCATACTTTCAGGATTGTTAAATGGAGGAATTATAAAAATGTTGCCATTAGCTTATGAATTCTAAATACTTTATTGTGTGTGACCAGTGCTTAACTCCTCCGCACAATGTTTTATAAGAGATACCAGTACATTGTACATCATAGCTCTGTTTGCATGTATTAGCTTGGTTTGTAACAAGTTTTAACTTGAGAGACAAATCATTACCTTTAGATGAAAGCACTGCCCACATATACTTTGCTTTCAGTCCAAATTTTATAAGAGAAAGTTTTTTTTTTTAAAATTGTGCTAGGTAACATAAATAAAAAGTTTGTGGTCTCCTCTATAGAATTGGCAGTAGTTTGATATATAAGCGAAGATATCTGACGAAATATATAATGTAATGATATAATTAGATAGACACATGTCTTTGCAACACTTCGGATTAAATATGTCCACCAGATCATAAAGCCATGTCAATGAATGAAAGGTAGTCACATAAGTTATATATGCATGCCACAGTTGTTCACCATGATGATAAATATTAGAACACCAGTCTGTATTATGTTGGTTTACAAGATTGTGTATATGCTGTAATACTTTCCTCAGACTTAATATGGCCAAGTGGTTAGCACTCATGCTTTGTGTTAGAGAGATCTTGGTCCAGATAACTGGCTATCATGAGTTTTTTCATGATTTTTCTTTGTCACTCCAGGCATTTGTCAGGATAGTACCTTAAATTAGGCCATGACAACTTCCATCCATATCATTTCCTACCATTCATTGCTGTATAGTTAGAGCTACTGAAAGCATTTTCAAATAAACCATAGATAATGAAAGTATTTTCCTTCATTTGGAACCAGCCAAGTCAAGTACAGATTTTCTCCTCACCATCCTCATGCCTCATTACAAAGTCACAGTGTGAATGGTTTGAGCCCTTCTTGTGTGTTGCTTCCATCTCAGAAGATAATTCCTTCTTTCTTCCCATACAGGCTGAGACAGCATTGACAAAGAACATAAATGTAATAAATGTTTGCAGAAATGATATTGACCTCCAGGATATAATCTTCACAGTGAAGCAACATTTGCTGATCCCACATTCTCAATTTTGCTGCATACCGTATTATTTTGAAAGGACAGAGTCTTAATATTAAGCTTAAGGAATATTCAACCTGTTCATGAAGTGGTTTTCAAAAATTGTGCTGATTCTTCTTCACAGAGGTATGTAATTTGTTTGTGTGTTTGAAAGTTCTCTTACAGCTGATGCCATCTCACTTCCTGATCTTGAGTTCATCTTTTTTCTTCTTCCTTTATCTTAATTGATTTTGCTTAATTAACTGAAGTATGGTAATGGTAATATTATATTTACTTGTTTATAAGACTAGATTTTTTCTTTATTTTTGTTTCTGTTTAAAGAAATGATGATTTTTATGATCTTGAATGAAGTAAATGCTTAATTGCATAAAGTAGAGACTTTTTGAAGCTAACAGTACGCTCATCTAGTGAAATTCACATCCATATGTTATCTGTGTCCAAAGTTCTCTAGCTCTAGTGGCTGCTACTCTTATACTGAAGAGAATATTATACTTAAAATGAAAATATTTCTTTTAAGTTTTTTGACGTAAATACGTCTATATGGAAGGGTCAGTGTCATTCTGCAAAAAAGTGTAAGAAAAATTTGTAAGATGGTTACCTAGGAAATATCAACAATTTGTAAATATGGACTGACAACAATGGTCAGCTTGTATGCATTGTTATGTTACCTAGGAAACGTCATCTGTTTACTCTGCATTGTTGTGTTACATTACTGCCGTCAACAATCAAAGCTTTCTCACATTTATGGAGAAAACTGTCAAATCCTCAATGTAGTACTACTAGATCAAAATCTTGTATAGATATGTTGATACTCTAAAATGTACAAATTTTATAACATATTTCTCCTACCACAGACCCATCTTAAGCATAACTAATTCAAGGTAGGCAGTACTGTCTTACTCAAACTTTAATCAATTGTAAAGCGGGTATAAAGAAAATATTTAGAATAAAGCCACTATATAAACTCCTTACCGTATAGACGTATTTACGTCAAATTCTCCGGAACCGTGGTTCCACTGTCACTTTTTTATGTTGGTATTCTATAAATGTGAGTTTTGAGGTTTGCCACAGTTCACACATTTTACTTTGTTTATTAGCGGTGATCCCTTGTGGCTCCTGTACACAGATGGTCTGAAGAATGTTGTGTTGAGTGACCGATGCAGCAAACATTCGGAGGATAAAAAATGAACAGAGGCACTTGAGGATTTTTAAGTTTTCTGTTTGTAGAAAGTAGGCGAAAACGTCGTCTGTTTCTGAGCATCTGAAAACTAGTTTGTGAGGTGTTGATAAGTTTGGTTAGCAGTGACGTGGACCAGTGCAACGCCGTATAGTGACGGCAACTATCCTGACGGTGATGTCATGCATGTAGTCTAAACCAGTCTGTGTGAGAATGAATGACGATTAAAGATACCACGACAAGGTTAAATGCGGGAGATAAGTGATTTATATGTGGTATTTAACAAAAATTATGAACAATCGCAAATCAATCTACCGAACAACATAAGAAATATATTAAAGTACTGTATACCAATGTCGTTTATTTCAAAGTGGTCTGTAGCATACGTTTGACTCGAAATGTATGTACCCGAGGACAGTGTGTTACATAGCTGATATACTAATGTAGGGCAATAAATATGAGCTTTACACAGTACAGTTGTTTTGTTTCAATGCGTTTTTTGTTAGAAGGTCGTAACATTAACTCATAGTGAGAGGTAGTTCATTTATTTGTTGTATACTTGACACTGTCAGTAGTTAAGAATATTATGTATCGTCAAATGGCGGGATGATTAACATGAATAATTTGAGCGGTGTTGGAAGAAACGGTCGTGGCTTAATTTAAAGTACTATTCTGGCATTCATTTGTTTCAACGGAGGGAAGCCACAAAATCATAGAATAAATTTGAATCCGGGACCTCCCGAATACGAAGTAGGAGTGCTAATCAGTCAGTAATCAGTTCAACATTGACGCATAATGGGGAATAATGCCCACGTAGTTCATCTAAACAACTAAATTCGAGATACTGTGCTAGGTTTCTATATTAAACCTCAGTGATCCAGTTCCATCTTGGAGAGTAACGGTTTGCGTATTTATTAAACGTGCTCATCGGTGTAGGCCATAAAATTGAATGTCATTAAGACCTACAACTTTAGTTTTAATTATAATAAGGTATTTAATTATCTTTAGTACAATGCGTGGAGTACATCAGCACATTTGTTTACTGGTTGTCGGCCGCTGTGAATATGGGATTTATTTATTTATACTTAAAATTAACACGAACAATTTAGGGAAATGTACGAATATCGTAAGAATTCTGCACCGTTTGCTATTGTCGCTAATAGACTTTCAGTTCGTGAAGCTGTCTTTTGATTCTTCCTTGTAGATAGCGTAAAAATGCGTTGGGCACGAATATGGACCTGCAGTATAAAATCTGACCAGAATCAGTCCGACAGTAATTGAGTTATAAATTTACACAATATGAATGACACCTTTTGTTACATGTTTCGAAAGTTGCGAGAGCGTTGGCCACCCACTTTTTGTTCGAAAACTTTTCAGTCCGACAGATTATATGATTGAGTTACGATCGAGATGCAGGTATAAAGTATCTAGGACTTCGTTTAGTGTACGATTTAAACCGAAATTGGAATATTTCGGCAAGTTTTTTTTTTATAAAACTGGCCAATATAAAATTTTATGGAAATTTGTTTAGCATTTCTCGAATGATTACAGACACAAAGAAGCTAATAGACGTGTTTTTGAATATTTATGTTTGGAACTCGACGAAAAGTGTTTCGAGCATTTATTCCGTAGCATGGAATGTGAGGGAGGGAATCCTGGGTTACAAAAACAGTTTGACTCAGCTGCAAAACTTGTTTTTGTTCCCCCCCGACGTCCAAAGGTTATCCAGTTATCAACGCAAACGGAGCGAGAGGTCACGGGTCGAATGAATTATTCCTCAGAAACTGTAGCTAGTCGTCGGAATTAGCTCGTCACATTTTTTTTTTCGTGTTAAATCAAGTAATGAACTGAGCTAACATTTGACAGTCGATCTGCGACAGGAGAGCAGTAGAGGGCCTTGTCGACCAGTTTCTGTTGGATCGTGCAGTCGAATAATTAATTTATAAGATCGCCGGGAGCTATATAGCTTTAATTACTTCAGTTTTTTTTTTACTGTGGTGTTAACGTGATTCTAAACATACCAGTCGCTAGGAAGAAGAGACTGGCGCCATAAACTGATGGTGCATAAATCTTCACCTGCCTTCCAGCTGCTCGAACAGACGGTGTCATTGTTGTAAGCGTCATGAAAGCCTTGCTACAATTGCTGGACCCCGGTGAGAGGCAGGAAAATAATAAAAAAATTGGCGTAATTTAAATGTGTGTGTGTGTGTGCCGGTATTTGCATATCGCTATTTGTGCCAATCAGTGCGAGAGTTGTATATCAGTCTGAGGAAGACCTGCCTCAGAGTAGAACATTGCAGGTGATCCAATGTTATTCCAGGCGACTGCAAGTGATGATACAGTGATAATATAAGAACAAGACATTAAGTAGGTTAGTGCGATGCGCGCAGCAGCCATGTCAACGTTTCTGTACACGCTTTTAGGGCTATCGGTGGGAGCCTCATTGCATTGCTCCGTTCGCCGGGAAATCTCACCCTGTACGTGCCGCGTCCAGGAACCGAATTCCAACACCATCTTGGTTGCGTGTGAGCGGATGATCTCCTTTACTCAGGTAGTGGAAGCTCTGAAAGATAAGTTCGCTCCTGATGTCGAAATTTCGCTTAGGATCGCGTACTCGAGGATGGACGACTTCTTTAATCACACTTTCCAGGAGCTGGGCCTAGCTGTCACCGACCTGAAGTTAAACCACGATAATCTCAGGTGAGCAGAAAACTTACAGGAACCCTTGAACTACCAAGTAAACTAAATTTATGAGCAAAAATATAAAATTATTCACGTATTAATTAGTCATTCATATATATTCATACGTGATTATGAATTCTTTTATTGAATCCGAAATGGGTGAACAAGTATTCTAACCCGTTTACTGCTAGATGGTGATTAATTTATTCATTTCTGATTTTATTTTTAAATTCATTTTCAAAATGCGTAAGAGCTATGTTGTGATTAAAACCTGTGTACTCTAACCAAATAAACAACTCAGTGGCCTTTAGTCTTTGTGCACTATTTATTATGAAAGGTTGTGGCATGTGAACTCGGTGATATTTTTATTATCCTTGTTATAAATTAAATACACGGAAAGCGACGGGCCTTGAAACTGTATAAATATTCTTATAGGCAAGTTTTGAAACAGCCACGGTAATCACATATTGTTCGAAGCTTCCGATTTTAAAAGTGTTCTAAATTTAATCATCACTGAAATATGTTACACTTTAGAATAACTTACAGCAATGAATTTTAATAAGGCCTACAGTTTGTATTTACTAGTAACTATGGGGTTTAGAAATTACATTTCTTTCAGTAACAAGGTTGTTTAAAGGGAAATTACCTTCGCTTGTTTTTAAACTATAACTACATAAATCAGCTACTTATAATAATTGTAAAGCTTTTGTGCACTGACTAAATATAAACTGAATTTGAAACTTTTGAATTCAAGTAAAACCAGTTGGCGAAATATTTAAATTACGACTACAGTATAATAAGTAATATTTCCACGTTGAAGGGAATATTTCTTATTCCTTTTTGAGTTCGTATAGTACGTAACCCATGCGTTGAAGTCACAGGTACAGTATTAACTAGCGAAAGAGAATTCACGTCATTTTTAGCTGAGGGTCTCATTTTCGGAATAACTAGATCTCCAAGGCTCGTAGTTTGATGGACGAGTATTTGGTTGAGCTTGGCCTAATAACAGCTGGTTTCTTTATTTGTAACAGGTATGGAAGGGTTTGCTCTAATTTTCAGTTGTACATCGATTGTTGTCATCAAATCGAGAATATTTAGTAGGCACATTCTCTCTTTTCGTATTAGACCAAAGGATCTCAACAAATGATGTTTATTTTATAATATACATGTTAAGAGTTCTGCTTTAAATATGTGGACAGCCGCCTAGTTTGAGTTGTTGAAGATATGGAACACCGTACATCAAAAGTAGATTCTTTTAAGATATGAATAATAATCCAGTTGTCAGATTAAAGGACCAATTAAGTCATAAAAGACTTTCTTAATTGTGAGATAATAATAGAGGCCTTTAGACAAACTCTGAAAATAAAACATGCAAAGAATGAACTGTACCTGGATTATAAAACAAATTTTGTAACTGTGCGCACAACAGTCAGTAGTGAACCGAAACGGGAAATATAATCTTTCCATGAAGATTACTATGACGAATTTCTACAAGAGAGGGAAATTTATTCCACATGTTTTAGAAATGCACCTTCTCCAATTTTACATGGGTCAACCATAACCTTAATAGTCATTGCTAATGCAAATTTTATAACCGAAAAATTAAAATTTATTTTTCTTGGTTTAATCATATGTGATACCAGTAATGTGTATTTATGTATGATCTCTCTCTCTCTCTCTCTCTCTGAAATAGATTGAAAATATTTAATTCATTTTTTAAAAAAAAATGGCCTTACATTCTATTATAATATTGTGCGTCCATTCTCAGACACAGAGCTAATATTCAGATCTTGAATGGGTATTATATGTTCATGAATTCATTGTATTTTTCAGTAAAATTTACTTGTTATCAAATTCCATCACTGCCTAAATACGTAACTACATTTTCTTGAAGAAAAGAACAAAGTAATATCACTAGTATTTTCATTACGTCATGGGTGCAAAGATATTTATATATTTATTTGTTAAGTATTTAAGTGAAATTTGTGCATTTTGAAAGTTCGTATTTTATGTTATACTTTTTTTTTTACAATAAGTCGCTTTTAAGAATACAGAAAAAGTTTGATCTCATCTTAATGAAAAGTAGATAAGAATTAAAATTAAATTTGCTTGATAACATATACTAGAGATCCTCAATAATCAATTTTATCGAAATATGATCTGTAGTTTAAAATATTGAATATGCGAATATACAGAGGAACAGATACTATGAATAATTAACTGGGATGAATATCAAATTAACCGGCTGCGTCCTAATTGAAGGTATTATCCCGGGGTTCTCGTCGATGGCCTGAGAAAAATCATGAAAACGTCAGTCAAGATAACTGGTCACAGAAGCCGAGATTTTACATCGGGACCTTCTGAATACAATAGCTAAGAAGTCGGCCGCAGTTAATTTGTCAAAAGGAATAAAGAAAAATCACGGCTTCATTCAAATTTGCTTACACACAGCCGAGGTTCTAACCAGATAATATCCAAAAAAAATTAGACGCATTTCATCTCAGATGAGGAGACTTGTTACTAAAGGAAACGAGAAGTACTCTAGAATAAAATCCAAGTTAAAAATCAAAATGGCATTTGCGACTGGTAGACTACTTCGTGATCTCTATGAAAGCGACGAGCTTCTGGTAGCTTACGAGTAAAGATTATCGTGAATTATGACGTATAAGTTTTTATAAGGGTACAAGATGGGATCTGAAGATTTCTGTCTTCTGGGTTGTTGCGCTGTGTAGTCTGATAGATGTTTACCAACGTTTCAGAGGACATACTGCCTCCATCATCAGGGCGATGAGTATGAAGATTTCTGTCTTCTGGGTTGTTGCGCCTTGTAGTCTGGTCGATGTTAACCAACGTTTCAGAGGTCATACTGCCTCCATCATCAGGGCGACTAAAATATGAAGATTTCTGTCTTCTGGGTTGTTGCGCCGTGTAGTCTGTTCGATGTTAACCAACGTTTCAAGGTCATACTGCCTCCATCATCAGGGCGA